TCTGAAGATGAACGAAGGTCTTACAGGTTTGGAACGACATGAGGGTGAGTAATTAATGACAGAATTTTCATTTTTGGGTGAACTATCCCTTTAAGGAAATTACCACCAGGTGCCAGATTAACACCAATTACTTGGAGGTGTCTGTAAGTGTTCTCTCTAATTTTGATGAGACTTCTTTTTAAAATATCTCAATAAAGTTTTTTTTTGACAAGCCTTTGTCAACCCAACATAACAAATCCCTCACATTTTATTGGCACCCAGCAGTTGATAATCATTGTTGTACTTTAGAACATGTTTCTGATTTGTAAGCAAATTTGCTGATTTGATCAGAGTATTTCAAAAGGTGCAACCTTGACCTGTTCGACCTAACTGGAGACACAGAAGCCTGATCCAGATATTGGGTAAATCATTTAGTTGTAAATCTTGCAGTTATACATTGTGAAACATATATCGCAACATATAATACAACGTCAGAATCAGAATTACCATTTATTGGACAATTTATTTATACTTACAAGCTGGTTAAGTAATAGATATATGTATAACAATCCATATCTTCAGCTAGGGTGGGTGATGGCGATGTATAATACAGGCTATATCAACTGCGATATATGTAGGTACATTCATCCATTCTCCAAACCGCAGATCCTCTGTAGGGTCATTGGGGATGTATGTAGCCTACATATAATTTAAATAAATTAATTTATTTAACTCATATATGCACTTATGGTATTTACTCAAAATTATTCCAAATATTTCAAATTGGACACTGAATGCTGATTAAAGGGAGAGTTAAGGCTTATATTAACTGGTCAATTAGCACTGTATATCAACTGCTTATTGTTCTATCACTTCTTTATGTGCAAACAAATGGTTGATAATGGTGGTAACACTGTAAAAAGCACAAAATAAGACTGAATCTTTTCTGTCAGCCAACCGCTGTTCATTAAAAGAGATCTAGGATTGCCTACAACAATATATCATTGGTCAGTTTCATATTCAGGTCATTTTAAATCCACACAGGATAATTGTTGACTAATCTAAAATTTAGGCTGACATTTCATCAGTTTTCCTGATTTATTTGCTTTGAATTACCAAAGCCTGAGATGTAGCAACATGTACTTTGATGACAAAATGTATCCTCACTTGAGCACGTGTAAATGTAGTGAGACTTTAATATTTGCCAAATGGCAACATAATGAAAGTATATTTAGAAAATGTCCTGTTTCAATGCCATTTTATATATTTGAGGAGAATGCAACGAGACATCAGATCTGAACTACAAAACCTAATTTAGCACGGCCATCTGCTGGCAATATTGTCACACTACAAGTGACACTGGCTGATTCTCATGAACTGTTTTTTTTTTTTTTTTTTTTTTTTTTTTCTCTCAGCAGAATACATAGGGCAGCAGAATACATATAAAAGTTGTTAAAAGCCAAAAGAAAAGTCGGTGATATCCTTGGCCTGTACCGATTTATTATTTTGTGTTTCACAATTTGGCTGCTCTAGGGCTATTTAATGGAAGGTTGTGTAATCTTAGCCCTATGTCTA